CTCCCTCTCCCTCTCCCTCTCCCTCTCCCTCTCCCTCCCTCCCTTTCCTCTGCCCTTCCCTTGCTTGTACACATGCACACTCTCTCAAAAAATAAAAATAAATTAAAAAAAATATTAGATCTTTAAGACTAGAAAGTAATTCATTCACTTGATGTATTTGATTAACTACAAGTTTTTTCTTCCCCTCCATGAGGAGTAACATCATGTATTTGCTTTGTTACTCGCATTTGTTCTAGCTGTTGAGTTGAGAGTGCATCAAGCATTTATTGCCTTTTTTAAGAATTAAATTTAAACCAACCTAAAAATTAGAACTGTAAAGTAATTAGCCAAGAGTTGATAGGACTTTCACTTAGTCTATATGTATCTATGCAAGACTCCTTCATATTTTGTTGTGTTTAATTTTTGCGTTATTTTTTCTGATCGAATTTTGAGGGTGTGTGTGTTTTTATTATAGGAAGCCATGATACTACAATACGATTATGGGATTTGGTGGCTGGAAAAACAAGAGTCACATTAACAAATCACAAAAAATCCGTCAGGGCTGTGGTTTTACATCCTAAACATTACACATTTGCATCTGGATCTCCAGATAACATAAAACAGTGGAAATTCCCTGATGGAAGTTTTATTCAAAATCTTTCTGGTCATATGCTATTATTAACACACTGACAGTAAATTCTGATGGAGTGCTTGTTTCTGGAGCTGACAATGGCACTATGCATCTTTGGGACTGGAGAACTGGCTATAATTTCCAGAGAGTTCATGCAGCTGTGCAGCCTGGATCTTTGGATAGTGAATCAGGAATATTTGCTTGTGATTTTGATCAGTCTGAAAGTCGGTTACTAACAGCTGAAGCTGATAAAACCATTAAAGTGTATAAAGAGGATGATACAGCGGTAAGTTCTCTATTTCACATATATTTTAAAGTAAAAGAAATCATACCAATTTAGCAAGTGATTTTTCATTTTAAAGGTATTGAAATTATCAGAAGGGAAAATAATCTTCATAGTATTAAAGAATTTGTCATCTTGAGTAGTGTCTGTTCATAGATTTCTGTATTGGTTTCATTGATGCCAGTGAATTATCCTTATTTACTATACTTGGGAAATGTTGCATCCACAATAACCACATGTTGGGGCTCCTGGGTTGCTCATTCGGTTAAGTATATGACTTCGGCTCAGGTCATGATCTCACAGTTCGTGAGTTCGAGCCCGTCGTTGGGCTCTATGCTGATAGCTCAAAGCCTGGAGCCTGCTTCCGATTGTCTCCCCCCCCTCTCTGTCCCTTCTCTGCTCATGCTCTCTCTCTCTCTCTCCTTCAAAATAAACATTAAAAAAAAAAAAAAAAGAACCACAAATAAATAAATTCCTATGCAGATAAATTCTAAAATCGTAAGCTTTGGTATTACCAGAATACCTAAATAGCAATTTTATTTGAGATGAAAAACCATGAACTGAATTTGTAGTGAACCAGTCGTCCTTTATTAGATTCAGATAATGTCAAAAATTTGTCAACTATTTTTTTTTTTTAATATAATGTATTGTCAAATTGGCTTTCATACAACACCCAGTGGTCATCCCAACAAGTGCCCTCCTCAGTGCCCATCACCCATTTTCTCCTCGCCCCCACTCCCCTGTCCACCCACAGTTTGTTCTCTGTATTTAAGAGTCTCTTGTGGTTTGCCTCCCTCCCTTGTCAACTGTTTCTGAAATTGTTAAAGAACTGCTAAATATGTAATGCCAACTAATGTAATTTAGAATTGATGGCCTTGTTTTTGTTAGGGAGTTATTAATTAAAAAACTAACAATATTTGGTTTTATTTAATTTTCTGTTTTCAGACAGAAGAAACTCATCCAGTCAGCTGGAAGCCAGAAATTATCAAGAGAAAGAGATTTTAATGTAACATTGTCTTCATGGTGGCTCCCCCCCCACACACCCTTTTTAAAAAAAAAAAAAAGCTTGGTGTTGATGAGGATATCCAGTCATTATGTGCTCTGGCTAGGAATGCAGAAACTCACATGCTTAAATCATTCCTGCTTCGTATTTTATAATAAACTGCCCCCCCCCATGTTATTTTCTAAAATAAATAATTTGAGATCCTAAGAAAATGCAGATATCAAGCATATGCAGGTTCATTGAACACAACTATTCTAAAGATAGAATATTTGTCAGTTTTTTTAAAAGACACTTTTTAAAAAAACTTAACCAAACTGCTTACTATAATAAGGATATGTTTTGAGGGGAGCAGTTGTGTTTTTGTGTGTGTGTTTTTTTCTTTTCTTTTTTTTTTTTTTTTTTTTTTTTTTTTTTTTTTTTTTTTTTTTTTTTAGTCCTTTAAGAACTAGTATCTGTGACTAATAATTTGGGATTAAAGGATTTGAAGTCTTACTATAATTTATGTATGTTTATTCCACAGTTTTTGAGTGTATGCTCTGCAAAGCTCTGCACTGGATACTGTTCAGGAAATAGACAAGCAAGTTGTATCTGGCCTCCAAGACTCTAGTTTATGTTACAGAAATGCAGTAAGGGAGAGGCAGGCAAAAAGCTGGAGTAGCACAGAGGGAAGAGCCAGTAATTTTTCCCAGAGAGCATGTGGAAGACTTCATAGAGTCAGGGGTATTTGAGCTGAGCCTTGAGACGGCACAGAGGGAAAACAGTTTTCTAAGATGAGGCATAAAGTGAATGAAACCAGACGTGGGAAACTCTGACGTGTTCTAGGAGCAAAGAGCTGTCTGCTGCAGTTGAGTAATGAGAACAGCTGGTTGGTGCTGGAGAATGTGCATGTTTGCAGTTTGATTGTATTCCAGAAGCAGTAGGATACCAAGATAGGTTTCAAATCCTGGAGAAATAGCAAGATACCAGTGGAGGTATTTGAAGCTGTGGCAAGCCCTGTAGTCTTCTTTAAAGACTTTCTGCATAAGGGTTACTTAAGTTTCTGATACCTATGCCTTGTAAATGAGTTTTCTGATCCTTGCCCTTAGGATCCTGAGTCCCCATCAGTCAAGAAAATGAGTCCAACTTCACTTTCCATAGTTAGAAAACACAGTTACAAGAACAATTAAATTTTTTTCAAATTAAAAATATTGCACCATAATTTTGAACAAGTGTTTCTGAATTATACATATCCCATCTTGCATGCTATAGGTGGGAGTATAATTTTATAACCTTTGGGGGGGGGGGTTCAGAGTATATTGAAAATGCTCAAACCATTTCGCTAAACTCTTCATTAAAAATGAAATTACTAGGAGACTGCCTAATAGGAATAATCTGACAAGTGTACACAAGCAGGTTTATTGCACCTTTGTTCTTTAATAATTAAAACTAGCTCAGAGGTCCTACCAGTAAGGGACTGGTGTAATAGATTATGGTACCGTCATGCAATTTATTTCTATTCATTAAGAGTGAGGGATGTCTCTGGATTAACAATAAGATGTCCAAACTTTTATGTAAAAAAAAAAAAAAAGTTGTGGAAGCTTTTTTTTTTTTGTAGGATAACTTGATAATGCTATAAAAAATAATGGAAAAGTAATACCACATTGTTGTCAGTGGCTTTGTGAGGGAGTGAAATTGTGGGAGAACTTTCATGATTGGCTTTATATATTTCTATAATGTTTTAATTTTCTATAAGCATGTATTTTGTAAACTTAAATAAAGAAATCCACTACACTTGCATCCCTGAGAGATTCTCATATATCTTCTAACACAAGAAAAATCGAGGTGAGGAGGGTCACATTCCTAAAGGCCGACCAGAAACCACAGCTAGCACAGGGAGGTGAGCTAGCTTCTTTTCTGCCTAGCAAAGCTTCAGCTCTTATTAGACAAGTACCAAATTCTGAATAGCATTTACAAAATCCATCTCCCTTCATGCTATCTTGTATTATGATGTTCTCGGATCCTCTTGGAAAGAGTTCATTCACCATATGTGTTATGACCCCCATGAGATTTCAGGCAGAATTAATGCATTTGCTCTTTTTTTTACCCACTTGACGGAACCCCAACCCAGGGTAAGTTCAAGTCTCTTACCTTGCCTATGTCTTGTGTATACCCAAGCTGCAGAACTTTCCTACAGGAAAACAGCTTTGCTACCTGGACTCATGTTTCATTTATGACCTCTTACCTCAAGTGGGCCAATAACAATGATGACACATACCTTTCTGTAGTTAATCCCTTCTGCCTCCTGTTGCAAAGGATGAACTCTACCCACCTAAAAAACAACTCTGAATGCACAGTTGTTACTAGACCTAATGTTCCCTCCTAAGTCTCACCTATTTCTCTATTCCCTTTTAAGGCCAAACTCCTTGAGTTGTCATAACTTCATGATCTCTCACTTGCCATTCTCAACTGACTCCAGTCCAAACATAGTGAAAGTAAATGTGTTCAACTGTTCTTAGGGAAATGGAAGAAACTTAAGTAGTATGAAGGAGTTGGTAGGAAATAAAGCAATGAGAAAAAGATATACAAAGTTAGCCTGAATGTCGATTTTTTTTTTTTTTGGCACAAAAATAAAGTAGATGCAATTATTTAGATAAACCAATCAAGAAACACAAGAATCATAAATGTCCTAAAATAAATAAATAAATAAATAAAGGGGTGAGGGAGACAATTCTGTTCAATTCCATGCCATTATATGTTTTTTTTAAGTTTATTTATTTTGAGAGGGTGGGAAAGGTAGAGAATCCCAGGTAGGCTCCATGCGGTCAGTGTAGAGCCGGATGTGGGACTTGATCTCACGAATTGTGAGATCACACCTGAGCTGAAATCAAGAGTCAGATGCTTAATCCACTGAGCCACCCAGGTGCCCCATCCATGCCATTATTTGAATAGCCAAATAAAATGGTTAATTTTAAAGAAAAATATATTTTATGGCAGATTCCAGAAGATACAGAAAACTTAAATTCTTGTAGATGAAATAGTTTGTCAAGGAATTAATCCTTACCATTACCACTTGCACATATCACTTAAGTGCATTAAGCTTCAAAGTGGAATTCTAATTTCAATGCACTATAAATTTTATAGGATCTAGATAAGGAAAAGATTTTATGTGTTTTAAAATGTATTTCAAAGATATCCAAATCCAATGATGCACAAATAAAGGAAATGATTTCATCTTGCTTGTGAATACTGATGGAAAAATCATTATTAAAGGCTAATAAAAGAATCAAACAGCACTTACCTAAGTGAAGTTTATTCCAAGAGTGCCAGGAAATTTCATTATTAGGAAATAGTATAATTCATCATATTGGTTTCTATGAGGAGAAAAATGAGTGTCTTCATAGATGGTAAAGGGGTATTTCAATATAATTTGAAATCCATACTTCATTAAATAAAAACAAGACCTACTAACATAGGAACAGATGGATATTTCAAAAACTTAATTACCCTATAATGAGTTGTTAATAGAAATATTCCTGTTAATGTCAAAAACAAGGCAGGAATATCCATCCACATCACTATTAGGTTTTTTAAGACTTGTCTGGAGTTTTCTAGCTTTTCTGGAAGTTTTTTTTAGAAGATATAGAGGTATATTGAGGCATCTGTGTGGCTCAGTCAGTTGAGCTACTGAATTGTGGCTCAGGTTGTGATCCCAGGGTCATGAGGTGGAGCCCTATGTCAGGCTCCACACTGAGCGAGGAGTCTGCTTAAGATTCTCTAGGTCTCTCTCTCTATATATATATATATATCTCGCTTTCCCTCTGCCTTCCTTCCCCACTCATGCTTGCTCTCTCTCTTTAAAAAAAAAAAAGGTAGAGGTAGAGGTATAATAATTGGAAAGTAGGGAAATAAAATCATTGCAGATAATTTGATTATGCACCTGGAAAATCTAAGAGAACTGATTGAAAACTATTAAAAGCAATAGCCTATTCAGTAAGGGCTTGGTACAGAACCTGATACTCATGGGGCGCCTGGGTGCTCAGTCGGTTAAGCATTGGACTTCGGTTCAGGTCATGATCTCACAGTTCGTGAGTTCGAGCCCTTCATTGGGCTGTGTGCTGACAGCTCAGAGGCTGGAGCCTGTTTCAGATTCTGTGTCTCCCTCTTTCTCTGCCCCTCCCCCACTTGCTCTATGTCTCTGCCTCTCAAAAATAAACATAATATATTATAAATAAATAATAAATAAATAAACATTAAAAAAAAACCCTGATACTCAGAAATCAGTAAGCAGTAAGATCTAATGGAAAGAAAAAACTCTCATAAAATGACAAAAAGACAGAGTAAAATTAAAAAGAAATATGTAAGTCCTGTATGAAGAAATTTTCAAAATCCTCCTTAGGGATGGAAAAGAAGCCTTGATTAAATGAAAGGCATATTATGGTCTTGGGTAAGAAACTTCAGGATGTCATTTCCCTTTAAATTCTAGTAAATTAGCTCAATCCCAGTAAAACTGCATATTGTATTTTTTTATCTATTATAGAATAAAAGCTGATTCTTAGTTCTTATAGAAAAATTTAAAAGCAATGATACCTAAGATAATCCTGAAAGAACAAAAAATGAGGGAGGGAACTAGTCTGGTATGGATACATGATCAATGAAATGGAGTACAGTCCAGAAATAGACCCAAAAACAAATGATAATTATGTGTATGGTCAAGATAGCCTAGCGTAACATGCTCAATCTTACTTAAATCCAAATTTAAAACTACAATGAAAGCTACAGTTTTCACCAATAGGACTGTCAAAGTTAAAAAAAAAAAGGTAATAATATACGTATAGGCAGCGTAGGAAATAATTTTCTATTTTGCTGTCCCAGAAAATTCATTGGTGAGAGCTTTGTATTAGCGATACTTTTTAAAATTACAAATGAATATGATTTTTAACCCAGAAATTCTAGTTCTAAGAATTTGTGCCATAAATGTGCTTGTATGTGCCATAAATATGCTTGTATGTGTATGCATCATTTA